GCAACATGGCTGAACCCCCTCCTCCCCTTCTGGCTTCATATTTTTCTTATTATCATTCGAGGCCACACCAAAGACGCTTTTCGGGAGCAGTCGCACGGCGATGCCAGTTCCACTGGTGGTCCACTTTCTCCGCGCTCGAGGCCTTTTCGGAGCAGAGCGAGAAAAATAAAAATAAAATAAAGGTGCACCCGATGCATCGCTTTCCTCTGGTGCGGCCGCCAACGCCAGAACAGGGTCAGATCTCTGCGTACACGACGGGCGTTCCGAACAAGATCGACACTTTCGGCTGGTCGGAGTAACGGCACGTCCCTACCGTGGGGACAGCTCGAAATAGAAGTTCTCGCGCACTCACAGAGAAAAAAAAATTCGACGATTTAGCGGCACCGAGACGAGCAGCGTCAGGCGCGGCCGTGCCTAGCACGAAAACAAAACACGCTTCCCCCCTTTCTCGGCTGTGGGAATGTAAGAAAGGGAAATGGAAGAACGCAATCATGCCGCTCGGAATTGCAGTGGTTGCCACGGCTTCGTGAAAGAAACCGCCCATGAACCGCGATACACATCCCACCAGTGGCGATGCCGATTGCATTTAATGCGATAAAAAAAAACTGGCATTCGTATGTAGCTGCGCGGGAAGCCCGCTGGGATGGACGGAGGGGAGGCGTTCGGACGTTGTGCGCTTTCCAATAGAGCGAATCCGAACAAGGAAAAAAAAAATGGTCTTCCAACCAAGACGCTTGGGCGCACCCAGGTTCATTGCACTCTTTAATGTTGTTTGGCTGCACCTGTCTTGCAGGCATTGCTGTCCGATTCGTTTGGTCGGGAACGTTGTGATCAGTGTTAATGCATGTACTGCGAAGGAATAAGGCGTTTTATCACTCATAAACACACTTCCAGACACAGAGAAGTGTGGACGCATAAGCACATATAGCGTTGTTGCTGTTACTTTTCAAGCGATACAATGCGCGCACACGTGACAACTACAGAGCCGGCTGCGAAAAGAGAACTCGGGAACTAGGTGGATTTTGTCCGTTCCTTAAATACATTACCTCCCCCTGTAGTACACACGACATTTTAGTTGTTTGTTTTTTTTTTCACCGTACTTTTCGTCGTACATGTCCGCGAATTGGACGACTTATTAGCAGGTCAGTTGCGTTCTCTTCCATGTTGGCATCTCTCTTTTATGTTGGCAATCGGCTTTATTCCAAACAGCGCTGTGCCCCCTTCTCCCCCTCTTTAAATTGCTTATGAAGCGAGAGAGTTCGGGAAGCATGTTCTGACGCACCCCTATTGTTTAGTGGTTCTCAAAGGTGACAGCCTTGGTAGATTAGCTTCGGCACATTTAACCGAATGACGAATATCTTGGTCGCTTCCCATTCACTAGTGCTTAAAAAACTAGAAAAATGCAAATACTTCTGCATTTCGGGAAGGCTGCCAATTTGCTGTAAGCAGACCAGTGTCCTTCTAGCAAGCCAGGTACCCATTTGTCACAATTTATATCTAATAACCCGCCACAAAGAAGCCGCCCAGAAAAAAAACAAAAATAATAAAATAAACAGCTTAACACCCGACTTCCTCAACGGGCTCACAGGGAACCATTCTCTTGGTGTTTTTTTTTTTTCGCAGCATTTGCCAAGTTAATAATGTGCATTAATACCTAGCATTGTTTAGCCGTACCCGCTTTGAACGATGAGGGCTCGCTTCCTGGACTATTTAGTGCAATACAGGACGTTACCTAACCGTGCCCTACTTTTCTTGTCTTTCTAATTAAAAATATACGCTAAGTGTTTTGTACGGCACCCCACTTTTCCTCCCTCCCTCCACCGCTCTTTTCTTTCTTTCTCTCTTTCTTTCTTTCTTCTTTCCTTCCTTCTTCCTTTCTTTCTTGCTTTCTATCTTTTTATTGCTGTTGATCACTCTTGAGCATGCATCTTCTATGTAGGCCTCTTCTGAGACAATAGTGGGTGCTCTTTCTCGCGCGCCCAATTCTGTGCACGGAGGAGATGTTCTCTATACGTTTCCTTTACAGGCGCCATGAGTATCGCACTTCCGCTCGGTTGGTCTGCTCTCGTTTCCGCCTAGAGGTGCTGGACTCGGAACAAGCGCTCGTAAAGGTTCGCCTGAAAATAGCGCTACCCCCCCCCCCTTCTTCCCCTTCAGTCGCCTTCTTTTCTTCTTTTCTTGTTCAACCTCTTTATAGCCTCAACTGCTGTGAGGCGCGCGCAAATGATCCGAGGACGACGTCTAAAAGGAAGCACTTATCACTCCCGGAAAAAGATTTCGAGAAAATACTTCTTGTAGCGCGACACACCTGACCACATGCATTGTAGCCGATGTCTGAAGGTGACGTCCGGACGTCCAAGCGCAAAGCGCGAGCAGTGACCCTTGCTTGAACGTCTGATTGCTGGCAGCGTCAATGGCTGCCTAATTTTCGTTCTTACGGCAATTGGTTAGATAATTCGTTACAGTGAGAATTCGTTACCGCCGGAGGAGCCAAAAGGAGTGTGGCGTCTCTATTACGCCACGCGCACTAGCCATTCAGTTTTTAGGCTGAACAGCATCGGGAAATGTTAGTGAATGGAAGGGGAGATGATCGCATGAATCAGTTTCATGCCACAAGTGCTAACATGCTCATTTTAGGCGCTATTAACTACGTGTGCCAACCCAATCTAAGGCTGGAGAATTCGGAAAAATGGCCATCAAAAGAATTACATCGTGCATTCCGAGTGAATACCTGTTTATTGTCTTTCTCGCATTGTCCACTTTATTAGAGCACTTTTGTGGCAGAAGTGAGACGTGTGGACCAAGCGAGCCTTTTTAATTTGCATTATACCTATTTCCCCTCGCCAGCCACGTTACGCTTAATCGTGTGGTAGCCAACCGAAGACGTTCTTGATTTACTTCTCTGCGTTTTCATCTTCGTTATTGTCTAAACAACCTATTTCAATGAACCCTTAATAGCAACGCCATTATTCTTGCTTATAAGCAAATCAGTCTGAGATCCCAGCTAGTGGCGAGTCTGATTTCGTCGCTCAGCGTTTCTTCAAGGTAAACTGGTGTCCTCAGCAAGAGAACGCGAGCGCCACGGCTGCACAGCCACCTTGTGTACACCCCCCAGTTTCGCAACGTAATTTGATACACTTTCGATTCGCAACATGTCGTCTATTCGTTTACACTACACCGGTTAGACTGGTGCCGCATCTTATTTAGCGTATGTCGCTGCTGATTCGATTGACGAGCTTGACTTGAGGTTGAAGGAAAGGTGAGGTGAGCTAATGATGCATCCGACGCTATTGAACTTCAAGCTAACTAGTCAATTCCTAGTGAACGCATTATAACTGAAGGCACAGTGTAAGTTCGAAAGTTATTTTTAGCGCCTGGTTTAATTATGAACCATTCCGATCTGTCTATGTGCAGTCGCGTGATTGATTTGTTAATTGTCTTACTGATATTTCTATTCTCTAATCTGTCTCAAAATTACCTATGTCACAAGAACACACAGAAAAAACATACTAATCGAAGTTTCGGTAGCAACTTGCACATTGCAACCCCAACCCACCTTTTTTTTTTCGCATTTATTGCGATGACTATCTAAGCAGAACTTGATTTTTCTATTTTGTTTTAGTGATAAACTAGAGAAGTAGAATAATAATATAGTCACTATGGTCAGCCTTGGCTATGTGCCGTATTTCTGAATGGTAACGAACCACAGTTTGCTGGACCGTAGTTACAATACGAGGTGACAGCGGTGCCTAGAACACACATACTGTACTTCATCGTTCTGCTCATCAGAGTTTTAGAGATTAGTTCTTGCCATTACTGCAGACTCTTGCAAACTGATGTGTTCTGAGCAGGACCTTTTTGTAATAGTCGTGGTTCGCGGCAGCGAAAATCGGTGATATGCAATGTAAAATTACGGGCGTTGACTTCCGAAAGCAGTGGAGGGGCTGCGAGTTACGTGGTAGGGGAGACTAGATTAATTTGACATTAAGGCGGTAACGGCGCACAAACTCACGGGACGAAGAGAAGGGACACAAACGAGCGCCGACTCTCAGCTCAACAGTTGAAAGTCAGCGCTTGTTTGTGTCCCTTCTCTACGTCCCGCTGATTTTTATGCGCTGTTACAGCCCATAATGTATCACCAACTAGCCCAACTGTCAGTCCTACTTAATTTGACAGCCTGAGTAGCTGCATTGAAGTACATTTCTTTTTAGTTATAATTCATGGCTACTTGCCGATTGCAGCTCGGGAGCATAAAGCGTACCGATAGTGTTGTGCCGATCTGTTTCTTTGCTTCTCTGTACTTATACGCCGCTCTTTATTACAAGAGTCAAGATGTCGCCCCAATAGGAGAAGGCAACGCGTTTGTAACGTGTTCGAGCTCCAAGTAAGATGTAATCTTAGTTCACATGCAGGTAGCGGTGAAGAGTACGCGTGCCAATATTTTTTTTTTTTCATAATCTACATGTAGGACTCACAGTGCTTTATAGCCGCTTATTTAGAGTATCTTTGTCACTCTGAAGTAACTAAAGCATGACTTTCGGGGCAGGACTAATCAGCTTGAAATCCCTGAGAAGAAGACTCTTGCCAAGAATAGCGTAATTGAAAAGGTGACAAAAAAGAGAGAGAGCCTGGGAGTTGAGTGGCTTCTGTTGGTGAAACAAAACGAAACAATTAGCAAATGATGCGTCTTGTTTCCCCTGTTCGCTCAGTGCTCGCTTAGGTCACTCTCGTTAGACGTCGTCAGTACGACGTATCTCACTGCGCTAATAGCTTTAACGGCTTCTCGGTGAAATCTACCGGAGATAAGCCACATGGAAGCAATTTTAACTCATGGCGAGCGGAGGAAAGATGCTGAACGACATACAGAAATGAGGAATATACCTTGCGCAATTTTTCGCACGCTGTATGCCTTTCGACTCGAACCGAAACCTCGCTCATTACTCGACGAAGTTTAGGGTTGGCACAGCCGAGAAAGGATGAATACTCCATCACTCCCTCACCTTCGTCGTCGTTTGCAAGGCCTTTATACCGTCGATCTGCAACACAGCACGAGCAGGGTCGAAAAGATCCCGGGCACCGTGGCACACACACTCTGTTATTTCTCAAACGACGACGTGGCTTCCTGGTCGGTCCAATCCGTTCTTTCCGTCCAGCAGGTGAGTCAATCCAGAGTGAGCGTGCGCAACTGCGCGAAACACGCGAAACTTGCGTCCAGACCTGTGGTGGCTGGAAAAAAGGGGGCGCGGCACCCCGGGCCCGACGAGCAGAAGGCGTGCCACTCGCACTCACGAACACGAAACGCACACTTCTTGCTCAGACCGGAGGGAAGAGGTGGAAGAAGAAGAATGTCGCTTAGAAAAGAGCGACTGCAGCACAGCAGCGTTGCGGTTGAACAACTCCACGTTGGCCTCGGATCGCGGAGCGGCGGCGGCGGTCGACGGCAGAGCAGCCGAGCCTGGTCGGTCGGTCGGTCGCGTGGATTTTTCGTCGGCAATGCAGGGAGGGGGGGAGACAGGTTTCTTCCTCGGGCAAGAAGGGGGCGCCCAAGGAGTGGCAGGACCGGTCGCCCGGCGAACCGGGTCGCCGCCGAGCGAGGGGGATGAACGCTGCGGCAAGATGCTCGCCGGGCGCTCGCGCCGCCGGCAACGACGTCCAGCGCGCTGCTGTGCGGAGGTTGCTTGCAGCCTTTGCTTGGATGCCGGCAACAGCAGCTCTCGCGCCTCCAAGGTCAAGGCATCTTCGGAGAGCCACGCGCAGTCGTGTGCGTGCTGCTTTGCCTACCTGCCTGCCTGCCCCCTCTGTATACGTAGGCAGCGCCAGAAGCACCCCACCAGCACGCGGTGCAACCTACGGGTCAACAAAAACGGGCGGCTCTTCTTTCCGGTGCGCATTTTTCTTCCGCAAAAGGGCGGCCCCCTTGGCGGCCAGCTTCGCCCCGGTGTGGTTAACGGCGCACTCACCTGAACAAGCAGGGAACACTTCTGCTAGGGAAACTTCGTTCGTCACTGTTAAAATGTTCGTTTTTTTTTTTCCTCTGTGCAATACTCCGTCTTCTTAACTACTCGCCCATGTCATGGCTCTTAGCTCTTTTTAAAGCTTATTCGTTACCTTTTGAACTTCTGCGACAATTTCTGCCACACATTTTTCAAGGCAATTGGCGCTAAATAATACGTGAAATCAAACACACACATGGACACCCCGCGTCTCTGAAGGAAGGCACCAACTGAATAAGCGACTGGGCTTTTGAATCTGTATCCCCCAAATGAAATAATTCGAAAATATGGCTGGAAAAAAACGTTCTTTACAGAGAAAAACAAGAACGAAAGTGTTACAGGATGTGCTATAAAGGAACACAGGCCACGTTGTATGTTCAATGCGCTCTCGGTGTTTGGCCCTGCCGTATAATATTTGTGTCATGCTTTGTTTTTCTTTAATACAGATTCGTGTGTTTTGCAAACGCTCCTGAGTCTGCTGTGTTTATTTTGCTACGTATGGTCCTGTCAGCCCGCACTACACGTATGTATATTAAACAAACGGAAGCAAACTGCTTCATAGATGTGGGAACTATGCAGCTGAAGTTATTTCCATGCGTAGTTGCTCCATTGAATACACAAATATGGGATAGAATGTGCCAACAGCAAACTACCTATTTCCAGTATGATCTCGAGGCTACGTAATGAAGCCTGCAGACGTGCAATTATGGTTAATCTACAAAGTTCCGTGACTATACCGAGGGAGAAGGTTATCTAGAAAATTGCGTGATTATGACTAACAAGGGGCTCTGCATTCCGCGTATATTGTATACAAGAGTGCCAATAAGTGATATTTCCAACCTTTGACATCGCCACGTCTCATTTCGCCCATAGACAAGCCGATAGCCCTTTGCTATGCATCGCATACCGGCCTATCCAGCTGCGTCGACCAACCCATCTAGCGAATGTTGATGCGTCACAGTTTAGTTTCTCCGAATTTAGGTAGCAAAACAGGCACGGTATGGTGCCTGTTATTTTTAGTCAGCACTACGCATGATGAAAGCGTTAGACTTCTAGACAAACTATCTATCGAAGTAACTCAGTTTAGAGTGTCCCAATATTGTTCCTTTTAAGTCGAACGCCGATTACTGTTGAAATGAGCATACTGCAGCGGTGAAGTTTGATGCGAAGACGTGTGCCTCGAGAGGCCGCCGCGCAACAAGCAGAACAAGGCCCTCGCTCCAGGTCGGACACCATTCGAGCGTTCCATTGTAGTGGAAAACGTAATTTTGTATTCCAAGGTATTATCCTTTATTCGACGTCTCTGCAGAAAACGGAAAGAGAAAAAACAGAAATCTGCCCATTGTTCGTGCAACCGTCGCCGAAGAATGCGGAATTCAGAGGTGCCAGCGACTTTGCTTCATCGCATGCAGCGCTGAAAGACCCCGTTCGCGTAACCCAGAAAAGTTGTCGAGCTTTCTCTTCTTCCCTTGTGCAAGCACAGGTGTGTATGCGTATGCCTACGCTGTTCGCTGAAGTTCTGCGCAAAGTATAAGGCCGTCATCGTCGTCGCCCATCACTCGAACTGGTCTACCCAAGCTGCACGTAAGTTGCTGAGGGCTTGTTACGTGGTTTTCTTTTATTGTTCCCCTATTTGAACTCACGTGGCGTTGCTCATATGTCGAACAACGGGAAGGATAACTGAATGTCGACGATTTGCACGCTGCTATTTACCGAAGCAGACAACCAACACAGAAATCTAATGTCGTTTCTCAGCCTATGGAACTGGTACACATATATTGCGTATTATGGTAAAGCAAGCAAATTCCTGGGAACGGATACGATCGATTGAGGAAACCACGAGCTAATGGGGCAGCCTTCAAAGTGCAGGTTCCGACTTATCACAAATCACAGACGTAATGTGAGCGCTTGGTGTCCTACATATATTGTTATATCCAGGCAGTGACATTCTCGATGGTGATTGAGCAAGCATGCGGAAATGCGGAACAGATGAATTGGACTTTGCAGTATGAGGCTGTGAGGACAAGCACCTACCTCATTGAAAATATTGCTTTTCTTATGCAGCTAGTACAGTTACTACTTATAACGAATCCACATGTAGTTACATGGAATGCACATGAGAAGCCATGGTTACTAGTGACTGCGAAGGACCACTCACGGTTTAGTGCTTTCCAATTTTCTTGACATAAACCCAAAGTTGCGATTCTATTGTGAACTTGATATGGTCATAGAATGCCTGTCAAAAGCAAAAATTGAGCATCGGTGTCGACTGTCGTCTCGTGGTATCGTCGTCAACAGCAGTGATGAAGACAGTGTAACCTAGGGCTAAGGTCATCGTATGACGTCATCATGACACCTACAGGCACCAACGTTTGTGACGTAATTATGGTGTAACTTAACGTGATGTCCCATGACGACCTCATCCAACGGCCTCGCCACTTGGTCAAAGGTGATCACAGAGCCAGTTAGAAAACTAGGTGACGGGAAGAAAGCTTGCAATGTCTTCGATCGGGGAGGCAGTACAAAACCGCGTTTTGTGCAGAAGGCTTTCGAGGCTTTCGGAAGGGGCGGGGGGTTTCAGTATATCGACTTAGAAGAAGAAAACGGCTTTCGCTTTGAGTCGACTTAGTACGATGCGTAAGGGACATTATGAGTTTTTATTGTTATAAACAGCAACGCTGTTCAGCAATTAAATAATTAATGAATTGTGTGTAATTAACTTCCCAAAACAACCATATATGATTATGAAAGGCGCCGTAGTGAAGGGCTCCGGAAATTTCGAGCACCTGGAGTTCATTAACGTGCCCCTAAATCTAAGTACACGTGAGCTTCAAGCATTTTTGTCTCCATCGCAAATGTGGCTGCCGCAGCCCCGGGGTTCGATCCCGCGACCTGCGGGTCAGCTGCCAAGTACATTAGCCACTAGACCACCACGGTGGTTCAGCCAATTGTTTCTTGTGTTTTGATCGTGCAAAAACTATCATAATCTCAACGGGTATGCGCCATTGTGCGGCCTATATGCTACAATACAATCATCGTCCTAAGCGGGTACACGCAACAAAAATTGGGTCAAACCCAGTACTCACCACTGGTCTACCAAAAATATAGATGACAGCAGATACCCCAACAAATTACTGCTAAGCAACGGCGTCGAGCCGCAGACCCCGAGTACGTACAACGGGAGAATGCTTGAGAACCGGAAAGGCAACGGCCGATGCGAGAAGATTCCGAAGCGATGGAAGACATACGCCAATGACGAAGTGCCCGTAGATCTATGGGAGCTGCGAACGCTTGGCTCCAGAACTAGTTTCTGTCTCTGAAATTTGGAAAACTGTGTCGTGTCTGGGACTCTCTGAGGTATAACTTGAATTGCGTGACGCTGAGAATCAACGTAGAAAAATCCAAGCATCACCTAGAAGCAACCAGGTTAGTTTTCAGAATTGCCCAGTTGTGCCGTTTCAAGCTGTGCACGGTTTAGTGCAAGCTGTACCGTTATAATAATAATAATAATAATAATAATAATAATAATAATAATAATAATAATAATAATAATAATAATAATAATAATAATAATAATAATAATATAATAATAATAATAATAATAATAATAATAATATAATAATAATAATAATAATAATATTAATAATAATGTTATTATTATTATTATTAGTAGTAGTAGTAGTAGTAGTAGTAGTAGTAAAATTGCACACATTGATGTTGACCCGTCTGTTTTGAATCTCCTGCACAACTATCTGCTTAATAGGTCATGTTATGTGGCCGTAAATGGCCAAACGTCTCCCTTCTACAAAGTGACTATATAGTGAAGTCCGTCAAAGGTCAGTATAAAGCCCACTCTTATTTTTAATTTACGTTAGCGATATTTATTTTTAATTTCGTAATTCTTCTTTACTATTGCAGGCCGCCGACATCAAGATGTTTATGGAAAAATAATTCAGTTAACGACTGTCGCTTGCTCCAGTCGGAGTTGTCATCTTTCTTCGAATGGTGTAACAAAAATAACATTTCCCTAAATACCTAAAAGACCAAATTTATAAGTATATCTCGCAAAGCATCCATCGTGTCAGTTCCTTACTCTTTCAATACCGTGTCGTTATGTAAGGTTTATGTAAGGTTACTTTCGCATGAACACTTGCAGTCATGAAGAGAGGATGTATTGCACTGAGCAGATTGCCGATTTGATTACTTTGAATTGTGGAAAAGCAATTTATTATTTAGAAATACTGACTATGTTCAAGTTACATTAACACGATATGCTGTGCTACTGAGTAGTATTTCGCCCATCTGATTCAGCCAGCCATTAAATGTCTCGTGTTCTCATGGTGTAAGTTCTTTTATCATATTACTGTAGTTGTAAGGTTGAACCATATGCCCCCACTTTTGATTGCTCGCAATTTCGCCACTTTCGCGTAGATTATCTTTCTGTGTTCTCCAATTTCAAATAAATGGTAAGTTTTCCAGCTGATGTGA